TAAAGATATAGGTATTACCATACCAAAACTTACTCTATGAAAGGGGCATACATCTAGTTCTAATATACTTACACACAATCTTATCCACAGGATCATGGTCATCAAAAGTAACAAACCCAAAGCCTCTCTTCTTTCCAGACTGCCGATCAGTAATTATCTCAATGGTATCAATTTTCCCATATTCTTCAAAGTAATCTCTAAGGTGATGTTCCTCAGTATCTTCTTTAATTCCACCAACGAACAGCTTCTTCACAGTTACATGAGCCCCTGGCTTTCCAGATTCCTGTAGTAGTAAGTAGGAGGGAAGTAGGGGGGTCAAATCATGACCACAGAAACCAAATGCAATTGAAAGCATCTCTGGGTACCATAAATTGTTTCTATCCTAAAATACCAGGTAATGCAACAGCCTATGAATAAGAACTCGTCTTTGGAAAACCACCATAGCTTAAATCAAGCTAACTAAAAAGAACTAACTTCTTTCAAAACTTATATTTTATCTTCAGTAGGACAAAATTTTCTTCACATTTATTGCACGAAGTTATGCTATGCTCACCTCTCTTGCAACAGCACGTTTTGGCTCAACCACTCGTCCATCAATTGAATGAGGTCTTGCAGCCATGGCAGCATCAACCTCAGCCATGGACGAAAAGGTTACAAAACCAAATCCTCTTGATCTTTTGCTTGCAGGATCTCTCATTACCTTTAAAATCAAAGGAAAAGTAGCATTTGATCTAGTTATTCTTCAATTAATAACATTTTTAAATTAAGGACCTAGATTTGTCATTTTCTCCAGGATTCACTCAGTATTTTAAACAAATCAGTCCTACAGTTGAAGGACTAGTATGTATTTAACGTACCACACAGTCTGTAAGTTTCCCCCATTGCTCATAGTAGTTCCTCAAACTTTCTTCTGTGGTTTCAAAGCTCAAGCCACCAATAAAGAGTTTACGGAACTGTTCCTTTTCTCTCTGCAAAGGAAAACACCATTTCAATTTTTATTTACATTTTCTCTTTGTATGCAGGAATTTAAATTCTTAAATATAAGGTGACCTGCTGGCAGAGTACCTTTTTCCTCTCCAAAGGAACAGTTTCTAAAGTTTTCTGGAGGGAAAAAAAAAACTTACATCAAATTTTAACCATATGTTAAAACTGTATATTAGTTGTGTTACACCAAAAAATTTCGTCAGCTGTACTACACGTTTCAAAGGCATATGCTTCACTTAAACTTACTTGACATTAATTCATATAAATTCAGTATCACTTAGCTTAGAAAAATACTTTCTGAGGTGAAAGGAGCAAATCTATTCCCTGGTAATTGAAGAATTAAACAATTCTCATCAGAATTTGCATTCAACCCTATATCCTAGAACAAAATTGAACATTAAATACTCGGTTTAGATATAAAAATAATTGGTTCTTTACAACCCATAGTTTACCATTTAGGATTTAGATACAAGTGTCTGATTTGTTTCCTTTCATTTGCTCCCTCTGGTGGAAATTCTAATGTATCACAGTAAGAAAAAAATCCTTTCCCCACTTACCAACTACTTTTGGTTGGGGTAAAAATTTAAATGTTCAATATATATAGCAAAATATCCTTAAAATTCACTCTCTGACCAACTAAAGATTGTTTATATCTTAAAAAGTAATAACCATGATTTCCTGGGCACTCCAATTTCTGGTACTTAAATTGACAATTCATAAACAAGCTGAATGCATATAGGGCTAACCACCAGTAAGTCAGTAAAACACTGTAATCATTTCACTGTTCAAAAATTTCAATGAGCACTGTGACTACTACTACTGGGGGAAATACAGAAAGCTCAAGTGTACTGAAATCATTGGACATCTGACAAGCTACACAACATACGCTTTTCTAATTTTACAAGCAAAAAGGATAAAAGCCTAGGCTGAAATCTTAATCCCCACAAACCAGCAAGCAAATATTGCTGCTTTATCAGTCTTGAACTTGGAGCTAACAAGTATGGATTGGAAATCATTTGGTTTTCAGGTAAATATTTTTTAAAAATTAGAATAGGTCTGCTGCCCATGACCAACTGCCATGAATGTGCAATATAAACTAAAAGATTAAATTAATGTGACTTTCAACACATCAGGAAAGTTTATTCCCAAATAGCATTATAACTCTCAACCCAGTAATATGCAGGCTTTGCCCTGGGCGCATGACATTCTGCCATTAACAAAAAATACACTGATAAAGCAAGCCCGACAATTTTTAACTCAGCTAACTGCTCTCAAGAATCGGTGGGGGGGGGGGGGAGGAGAGAAGGTAAAGATTAACAAATTATCAAACTAGCTCCTAATACATTTAAATGTCAATATGTTAAGAGATTACTTTGAATTTGGACATATTAGCTAATTTCACTTACTGTATTGTCAGATAGGTATTTAAACCCCAAGTAAATAACCGAGATTAAAAAAATGCATATACAACAAATTTTTCAAATCACTAGACAAAAGCAAAAGCTTGTTACTTACCTAAGTTTTCTCCAAACTTACCCGATGTCCACTATCGATTAAATTTATTTTACAGGGGAGCACAGGGTCAAAGAAAATGCCCAGATAAACCCCCCCTATTCGCTTTAGACCTTTACTTATCAATGTAATGATCAACCATGATTGCAAACATAAATGGAAAGAAAAATCAAGTGACAAAGTTCAAATACATAACCAGCCAAAAACCTATCTACAGCAATACACACAGGCATTGAAGGACTGAGCCGTGCTTTTAAAAAAAGTCTAGGGATATTCGTTTCTATTTCACTTCCTCTTATAAGAATGCGTGGTCTTTACCAGAAAAGCATAAATTTACAGGTAAAAAAACATTTTTTAGAGTACGAGAACTACAACTCAAAGGGAGTCCTTCAGAAAAATCCTTTTCAAAAATGAAGACGCCCCCAACTATATAACCTTCCCCCACACCTACCCATAATGGGCACTAATCTGATTGGGTCCCAATTTTGGTTTTATTTCTAATTGTGAAGCTGGATGCAAAACTGGCTTTTTTGGTCACCGCAAACCAGGGGGGGGGGGGGGGGGACCGTTACCCAGAGGAATCGGCACTGCAAAACCAGTGTTCCCTCTGTGCTTTGGGGCGCCTGAAGCGGGGCGCAGCGCTTCCCCGCGAGGCCCTCCGGCGTGGCCAGCAGCGCCCCCCCGCCCTTCGCCGAGGCCGAGCGCAATGGCGCCATTTCATCGAGAGGAAGGAGCGCGCCGCCAGCGAGGTGCGCAGGACCCGAGCTGGCCCCCGCGCCCCACACCCCCGGCCCCCGCCTCCGAGCCGCGGGAGCCCGGCGCGGGGGGATAAAACAGCAGCCCGCTTCTAATTTTGGATTAAAAGGGTCCAAGCAGGAGGATTCAGACGGTTAAAGAGGAAAACGCGGCGACGACGGAGAGGAATGAAAATGGCGGCCGCCAAATCCGGCTCCCGGGAGGGGGGAGGGGAGGCGCCGCAGTCTCGCTCCGGAGGCGCCGGGCCCGCCGGGCGCTCGCTCGCGGGGCCGCCGGGGCCGCCGGCCGGCCTGTGGTGACGGGGCAGGGGCGCCCCCCGCCCCGCTTGGGACTGAAGCGCGGCCGCGGCCGCCACGCGGGAGGGATCCCATCCCCCACCCCCAGCGGAGGGAAATGGCGCCGGCAGGCTGCAGGGTGGGGAGAGCGCTGCACACACAGGCCTCCCTCCGCGGAGGCGCCCCCTCCGCGACCGTCTCCGGGGACCAACCGCTCCTGAGGCGGCCCGGCTCCGCGGCCGCTGTCCCCGGCGAGCCTGGGGGGCCGGCCTTCCACAATGGCGCCAACGGCCTCGCCATGCCCTTTTCCAACAACTCATTGATTTCAAACCCGTTACCTCCATCGCGGACTCAGTCGCTTCAGCCCGATTGCCCGCAGCCGAGCGAGATGAGAGAGATCTCCGCGGTCGCACGCGAGCCGGACTCGTCCTGGCGCTGTAGTGAGAACTGCCGCCGCTGGAGAAACAACAGGGCTGGAGGCACGTCCGCACGCTCAGCCGGCGCCGCCGCGAATGCCGCTCCGGCCGCGGCCGCCGCTTTTCTAGAACCTTCCCCTCCCACCAACGCGTCCTGACGTCAGGGCGTTGCGTAAACGCCCTAACTGCCGCCCGTGGCGGGAACCCGCCACGCCCTCCTTTACGCCGAACGCGTACCCCGCCCTCCCCGCCGCCCGGGGGAGCGCCGGACGTCGCCGGCGTAGAGCGGCTCCGTGAATTGGCGGAAGGCTCGCGCAGGCGCGGTCCGCTCTCTGGAACTGCGTTCCAGCCCCCCGCCGCCAGAGCGCAGGGCAGGTGAGAAACGGTCGCGCCATTGGAAATACTAATCCTAAAAGCTGTCGGGTGGAGCTTAATCCCCAGCCCAGAAGGTCCGCTCCGTCTGCAAGGCCTGGGCTAGTGCTCCCATCTGGCCTTCTGCCCCTTCCCGGGAAAGAAATCTGTGCAGCCTCCCCGCAGCCCTTCTCCCCCCCGTCCCTTCCCCCGGAGCCCAGGGCTGGCTCGGCCCCTTCCGGGTACACCCGAAGCCTCTTCTAGTCAACAGGCTGCAGGCGCGCTCCGCCAGCCTAGCCCGGGTCAGTATCCTTGGGGTCCCAGTCCCCGACCCCGCCCCAGCTCCGTTTTCCTCACCACCCACCTCCCAGCCCCGGGAGATACCCACCCCCGGAGCGAGGAAGTGGGCGGAGCCCGGTTTTGGCGCCAGCGCTGCGGCCGGCGAAGCCGAAACGTCCCCGCCCCGAAGACCTTGGTCCTCGCCCTCGCCCTCGCCCTCGCCCTCGCCCCTCCTTCCCTCTCCCGCCCCTCCGGGGACCACCTGGCGCCACCCCGCGAACGGTAAGTTGCCGCGGTGGCCTGCACCCTCCCCCTGGGTCTGGGCTCCGGCTCCCGGCAGGCCCCGCGCGGCCCGCGGCCCCGCCCCCTCTCCGGCGCGCGCGCGCACGCCCCGCCCCTCGCTGTCGCCGGCGTGGGCGGCGCCAATCCCGCTTGCGGCGCAGCCCCGCGCGCGCCTCCCGGCCCCCTCCCCCTCGCTAGCGGCTGGAGCTGAGGGCGCGCTGGGCCGGAGCCGCCGCCGGAGGAGCCGGAGCCTCGGGACGCGGAGCTGCACGGAGGCGGTGAAGTCGGTGTTTCTCTCTCTCTCGCACGGAGGTGGTGCTTACGATGCGTCTTGGGGACCCCCCCCCCGCACCCCTTACCCAGTCCCCGGCTCCCACCCGACCCCGAGGCGGGGTGTGGGGCTGGGCGCGGAGGCGAGGGGAGACCCCCGCCCGCCGCCGCGGGCCTGGCGCGGGGCCGGCGTCGGTAATGGGGGTGAGGCCCCGTGAGAGGGTAGAGGCGGGCGGCAGCCGCCTCCCTCTGAGACAAAGCGCGTTTTTCCGCCCCCTCCCCCTCCCCGGCGGCCGCGGCGGGGCCTCTTTCGGGCGGGCGGCGCCGGGCCCTCCGGCTGCTGCGCGCCCGCCGCCCGGGGCCGCGGCGGCGCTCCGTTACGTGGCCGCCGCGGCGGGCGGGCCGGCCCCGTGGCGCAGCGCCCCGGAGCCCCCGCGCCGCGGCCTTTGTTTCTCCCCGCGGGCGCGCTGACCACGAGGCCCGGGCTCCCGAGTGGGGGCGGGGCGGGGGGCCTCGGCGGGGGAGGCCCTGGGTCTCGGGGGGCGGGTGGAGGTGCCCGGGAGGTGGTTTGTTTTTAAGCGGAACCACATGGTACTGGAGCATCTTGCTGTGTTTTTTTTGTTTGTTTGTTTTTAACGAGGGGCTGGAAAGAGGGAAGGTTTCACCTAGGCGACTCTTAGAACTCTTAGGAGGCCTGCGGGGAAAATTCACGGTACCCGGTCATTTTGATTGGGTGATTGTGTCTGGTTTTTGAACCCAACTATTTGGCCATTTTTAAATGAATACTGAGTGTGATGTAAATGAGATTTGTGGGGGGGGGGATGTCTGCAGTTTTTTTGCCCTGTAAAGCTGTCTTAGTACCGATGGGCCCCACAAGGTTTCCAGACCCACTGGGTTGGAATACTGATAGACGCTCAGGGATATATTACTAATCACTTACACAGCAGTTCATCTTTGCTGCTCAGTGGATTTGTATACATGGGGAGGGGCGGTGGGAACCCAAAAGACACTGGTTAGCTACCTGTTTGTGTCATGTAAACTTCCTTTTAACTGCCATGCATTTTTCTAGTAACAGCTCTTCGAGTCTGCAATAAAAAATGGCCTCCAATAAAACTACATTGGTAAGTTAATGAAAAGCTAAAATACGTAAGGGTCTAACTCAAGTTTTTCCCCTGAAAATTATAACTTTGCATTTCAGTGATTGAGAAGTTCACATCCATCTTTATTCCCCAGTGCCCTCTGCCCCCAGTGTTATGGGAAGAATTAGCTGCAAAAACAAACGCATTACATGGAGATGATTATTGATTTGGCCTAACAATTTTGATTAGGTTAAGGGGTCCTAAACTTGAGTATAGCACAGTATGTAATGGAAGACTACATAAGTATGGACAAAGCAGGAAAGCCTTTGTTGGTTGGCATATTACCTAACTCACTGTATACTGAATCCAAGAGAAATAAGTATTTGTAGTATTGCCCAGATTAAAGAAGAGATATCCAGTTAGGTAGACTGGGACAAAACTCATTGATTCTTTCAAATACTTTGGGCACATGGTCATATCTCAAAATTATTCTAAAATACAGAAGGGCCTTAAATTTTAATCATTGCCAATTTTTTTTAATATACAAAGTGAACCAAACTGCACATCTATCCAGTAAGGAGAGAAGAATGGAGCATATTTGCAGATAACTTTTTTTCTCTTCAGTTTCTTAAACTCAAAGTTTTTCTCTTAGTTTCATTTAAAGTTCTACAAATGTGTCAAGACATTGTATGCTCAGTTAAGTTATAAATTTGAGAAAAACACTGGAGTATTCACATGAGAACCATGAAATTCAAAGTTATGATTTCCACAGTGTTTAATTCAGACACTGCATTAATAATAATCTTAAGTATACAAAGGTATTGACATCTAAATAAAACAAAATATTTGGACTTGGTTTGTACATTTTCCCCTTGAAGTTTACACTGAAGGGCAAGTGGTGATTTATAATTTGTGTCATCATTAGAGTGCACATGTAAATTAAATATCCTGGGAAATATGAAATATAAAACCTGTCAGGTGGACCTATGGTGTAAATGATTCTCATCAAAGCCATCAGTGGAAAAAGCACAAAGCATCTTCTGTGCCCCTTCAGGATTGAATTTCAAATTTCATAATCAGTAAACCAAAGTAAGTGTGATTGAATTGGCTTTATGGCCACCTGTGTCCGAATATTGGATGGGAAAGGAGCTATTGCTTGGTTCTTTGGGGATGAATATATAGATACAGAAAGCAAGTAGATGCTTATATTAAAACCAGAGGCCTGGTGCACAAAATTCTTGCGGGGATGGGGGAGGTGAGGTCCCTCAGCCCAGCCTGTGGACTTTCACAGTCTGGGAGCCCTCAGAGGATGTCCAGCTGATGACTTAGACCCCTGCCCCACCAAGCTGGCAGTCAGATACCCTTTGAGGCAAGAGGCAGGACACACACACACACACACACACACACACACACACACACACACACACCTCCCCCACACGGGCACAGCCATGAGCCAGGCTTCTGGCTGAGCCTTCACTCCACCTGTGGGATCTGTCCCCCTGGTGGTCAGTGCACATCATAGCGAATAGTCCTACCATTAGGTAGATTTACATACTTGGCCTTTTATTATATAGGATTGAATTGATTTTGTACAAAGTTTTTTAATCTTTATTAAGTGATTTTATCTAGTCTGAGGGTTTATCCTTTTCATTTTCTGTGCTTATTTTTGTCATCTTTATTCTGTTCATCTCTTATCCTCATGGACCTATTTTGTTTTTGTCATTTAGGATTAGTGTCTAATAAGCTTATGTTTGCACCCAATTTTTCTTCATTCGTCCCACTACCATGCTTACCTTCCTTTTACTGCACAGAAGCAGAAAATTATATGATTGGGTGCAGTGCCCAAGTAATTAATGTGTGTGTGTGCCTCTAAATAACTACATAGCTTAAATGTTCTTTTGCAATCTCTGGTATTTTGTTGTCTTTTTCTGCTTTTTTTATTTTTTTTAATATATTTTTTAATATATTTTTATTTATTTCCAAGAGGAAGAAAGTGGTGGTGGGGGGGGGGAGAAGAAACATCAGTGATAGAGAGCTAGAAACATCGGCTGCCTCCTGCATGCTCTGCACGAGGGAATCCGAGCCCGAAACCTGGGCATGTGCCCTGACCGTGAATGGAACTATGACCTCCCTAGTTCATAGGTCACCCTCAACCACTGAGCCACAATGGCCGGCTGGTTATGTGGGGGTTTTAAAGCTTACTCATTTTCAGTCTTCTCATAACAAATCTGTTTGAATTATTAGAAAAAGGTGATTTGGGCTTGGTTTCCTGCTTCTCTTAAATAGTGTTAATCTTTGAAAAAAAGAAAACTAAGCTAAAAGTGAATTTTGTTGGCTACTAATTTAGACCTTTTTTTTTCCTTTCTTTAATCCCACAGGGATATGTTTTTATTGGTTTTAAAGAGAAACAATGATTGGTTGCCTCCTTTTCTTGTCCCGGCCCCTATTGAACCTGAAACCTTCTGGTGTATAGTGCAACACACCAACCAACTGGGCCACCTTGCCATGGCCCAATTTAGACTTGAGTAACCAAGAAGGATTTTTTTTTATAAGTAAACTGATCCAGCAGTTTGACATCTTGAAATGACAGCATTTATAGTTTTGTTTCAGTTGTTCAGTAACATATATTATCAATAGAGATTATGAGAAAATAATCTTGTTCTTTTTAATCTAGTCATGGTCTCCTTAGTTGATCCTGTGACTGATACTAGGATTTTGAACCACGTTATCATTCTTGTAGTTAACCTTTTTTCTATATTGCTGAGCCTTTTAACATTGGTGTTTGAATTGGTAAAGGGGGTCTTAGCAAGTGGGGGCTATGATTTCACTGGCCTGCGTTTCACTTAAGTAAGATCTGTCACTGCTTCTTCCCTCTCCTCTGTCTAATTTCCTAATACCATCTAGCTGTGGCTGGGTTGTTAAACTGAGTGAAAACTAGTAAACACATTTCTTATAGATGACACAGAAATGTTTTGTTTTTAATATATTTTATTGATTTTTTTACAGAGAAGAAGGGAGAGGGATAGAGAGTTAGAAACATCGATCATCCCCTACCTCCTGCACACCCCCTACTGGTGATGTGCCCTTGACTGGAATCCAACCTGGGACCCCTCAGTCCACAGGCTGACACTATCCACTGAGCCAAACCGGTTTCAGCAACAGTGTTTGGTTTTTTTAAAACAAGTTTATCTCCCCCCCCCCCTTTTTTTTTCTTTTTTTAATATATTTTATTGCTTTTTTACAGAGAGGAAGGGAGAAGGATAGAGGGGTAGAAACATTGGTGAGAGAGAAACATTGATCAGCTGCCTCCTGCACACCCTCTATTGGGGATGTGCCCACAACCAAGGTACATGCCCTTGACCGGAATCGAACCTGGGACCTTTCGGTCCACAGGTTGAAGCTCTATCCACTGAGCCAAACCAGTTTCGGCAACCACACAGTGTTTTTTATTGTATTGTTTAATTGAAAGGTGGTGAGTAATAGGTTTAAGCTAAATCAACTTAATTACATATTTCTTTATTGTTAGTATCTGTTGGCTCCCCCCCACCCCCAGGAAGTGTCTATCTTAGGATATAGAAGTAAAAATTTAGGTGTCAAATTCAACAATAATATAAGTAATAAATTTAGCTTTTAAAATGTACCCCCCAAAAAAACAAGATATTTTTATAATTCTTTTTTTGTTTATTTGTTTTTGTTTTAGCAAAAAATGGGAAAGAAACAGAATGGAAAGAGTAAAAAAGTTGAAGAGGCAGAGCCTGAAGAATTTGTAGTGGAAAAAGTATTGGACCGACGTGTAGTGAATGGGAAGGTGGAGTATTTCCTGAAGTGGAAAGGATTCACAGAGTGAGTGAATCCCTTCTATGTTTAAGGGCACTTAAGCGGCATTTAAAACTTGTTTTCAACCTGAGGGTTTTTTATTAGTTTATTAGTTTTTCCATGGGTTTCTTTTTCAAAGTTTTATATAGTATATATTTTATTGATTTTGTACAGAGAGGGAGAGAGACAGTTAGAAACATCGATGTGAGAGTCATCGATCAGCTGCCTCTTGCACACCCCCTACTGGGGATATACCCGCAACCAAGGTACATGCCCTTGACCGGAATCGAACCCGGGACCTTTCAGTCCCCAAGCCGACGCTCTATCCATTGAGCCAAACCGGTCTCGGCCATGGGTTTCTTTAAGTTTATAGAATTTATTTAATTCCGGGTATCTTGTTAGAGTTCTGTTTAAAAGGAACCAAGTTCTTAGCCTACATGTTAGCCAAGCAAATTTGAGACTAGTTGCTTACCTTGGAGCGTCAAATTTATAGAATTATTGTAATGCTGTGTGATTTTTTTTTTGTGTTGTATTTTTTAAATTGATTTTTTAGAGAGGAAAGGAGAGGGAGTGCATTATCAGAGCAGGCCCTTGATCAGCTGCCTCCTGCACGCCCCCTACTGCATTCCGGCAACCTTCCAGTGCATGGAACGATGCCCAACCATCGGGCCACGTGGGCCAGGGCCATGTGATGCATTTCAGTGTAGCTATTGTACTAATTAACTAGAATACCTAATCTACATCACTTCCTTACATGCGGAGGGCACTAACATGGGGGTTCTATAGTGTAGACCAGTGGGTATTAAACAGAAGTGCTCGTTATGACCCAGTTCTTACTGTATCCTAAATCTCTAAGAAGTAGAGTCTGGGCCTTTTTTTTTTTTTAGCTTCCTGATTCCTCATGATCCTTGTTACTAGTGGCTCTCGTAACTGCTTGTATTAGCTGTCTTGTGGATAACTTGCATGCAGAAATTACATTCTTAATGTTTATCATTTACAAATATGCTTAGATTCTCTTCTGTCTTACACCACAAAAACAGTGAGGCTCTATGGGCAACAATTATTAATGGATAGGCAGAAACCTACAAAAAGTTTTCTGAGCGTGATGGAGATGAGTATGATAGTCAGATTATTAGGCTTCAGCTACCTGATATCTAACTCCACCATTCACATTTTAAAGCAATCCTTAGCAGTTTGGGAAGAGTGAATTGAATGGAAGGTTCCGGTTTTCCTGTTAGCTTCTCAGTACTCTTGGTTGAGTTCAGGTATTTATCATAAGTTCATAATGTACCCCTAGAAAATTTTCCTAGCTGAACCAAGCAAATAAGCCTGAATTATTTTTGAATGAAATTTAACCAGTTTGATTTAACCAAAATTGATAACCTTCATATGGTAGAGAGTTGGTTTTTGTTGGTTTGTTTTTTAACCTTCTGGCATAATAAAAACTCTATGTCCTACCCATGAAATGTTAGGAAACTAACTCTTCCCTTTCTCCCCAAACTGAAGGCTACTAGTATGATTGAGAGCCTACTATGTGTGGCACTACGTGTTAGGTGATATAGAGGGCCGTAATGAAAATAACTACAGAATGGAGGCTCCACTTCAGCTCTCCCCCTCCTTCACCCTCTAATTTAGGTTTGCCAATTTTGAAGTCTGAATCAACAAACCACGTTGAAACCAGAGGTTAATAGCACCTTTCCCTGCATCTCTAAAACAATTAGTTTCATTCTATTTGTGTAAAGGCTTTTTTGGATCAGAGCACACAAAGTTTGCAAGCCTATCACTGCTGAAGGATGATCATACTTTCACATTTGGTAATTGATACTTGTTTTCTTTCCAGCCCTTGTTTATGGGCCTTGAAATTCGAATTTTATAATTTTCATTTTGAAATATTTTTCCAACCAATTAAGAATGTAAAAAACAGAAGGCTGGATTTAACTTTCTTTCTGTTGCTAATTCCCCCTTTATATATTATAATTTCCCAATTTGAGCACTCAGCAGAAATTGGAAGTACTACCGTGTTTCCTCGAAAATAAAACATCCTCCAAAAATAAGACCTAGCGCATGGAAAGATAAGACATCCCCTGAAAATAAGACCTAGCGCAACTATGGGAGAAAAATTAATATAATACACTCTTATTTTCGGGGAAACAGGGTATCTCATGTTTGAGAATACCTCAATTATTTTAAACCACAGTATTGGAGGCCCTAACTCTATGTATCTTCTGATTAATCTATTAAAATAATTTACAGTGGGAATTAGGAATTCACATTTTTAAATGGGTTGTTCCATAATTTGGAAAAATATTAGCTTGTTAATATGGTGGAATCAGGTTTTGTTAACCTGAAGGTAATATAGCAGATTGATCCCTTGGATAGGAATTGTGAAAGAAGACATAAGGGAAATATGATCACGTGTTAAAAGAATGTAAGGCATAGGGAACAAGTGGTTAGCGCAGAGGACTTTTCACATATATATTAAGTGAATCTGAATGACGGTAATAAACCATGTTTAATCGAATGAACTTTTTTTTAACTGAATGCAGTGCTGACAATACTTGGGAGCCTGAAGAAAATTTAGATTGTCCAGAGTTAATTGAAGCATTTCTTAATTCTCAAAAAGCTGGTAAAGAAAAAGATGGTACAAAAAGAAAGTCTTTATCTGACAGTGAATCTGATGATAGCAAATCAAAGAAGAAAAGAGATGCTGTAAGTATAAAATATTGCCCACCAAACTAGCTTTTTGTAAAAGATTGATGGCTTGATGTTTAAAATACTTTTAAGACTTTAATGCTTTTAAAATATAATTTAAACACCTTTTAAAAAGGCTTACTTTAAATTGTGCTAGTGTTATTTTGGGTAGATTAGTGGATATGGTTCCTATGATCCAAGACTAGCAGTCCTTGAAAACAATCCACATAGCTCATCCTGACTGTTGACCATTTAACAGCTTTGACCACAAGAAAGTACTTTGGTATGTGATCTTTCCATTATCAAAGTAATGCCAATGATACTTTGATTTTGACATAATCTTTGATAACATTTTTTGTTTTATTGGCGTGAATTGAGGCAGTTGGTTTAGTACTCACTACATGTTCAAATCTTTGCCTACTGGTGTCTGTGGCTTGAGACTGCTTGTTTTCAGCTTCAAAAAACAAATTATATTTGCCCTTTGTTCTGGGAATGGTAATTTGGGAAAGGGTCTTCTTAATTGGCATTTAGGCTTGGGGACTAAACATACCCTACAGATTTCTTGATAAGATCTTTATATTTTAAATTTGATCATTTGAACTAGATGCCATATACTTTACAGATAATCCATTAAATGTTCATGACATCTCTATTAAGATTATAGGTATTATCTCCATTTTACAGAGGAGAAACAGGTTGGCTATAGATTTGGTTTGGATACTTTAACAGTCAAAACAAAAAAATAACAATGTTAAGAATCAGTATATTTTAGTTCCCTTATATCTAAGGTTTCAGTTACCTATGGTCAACTGATTCCAAAAATACTAAATTTCCCCAACCAACATTTTCTGCTCCTGACATCCAACCATCAACATCGTCATGGCTCAATGATCCAGGATCACCTGGAGCCAGATGATCCTCCTTCTGACATAACATCAGAAGGCCATTCATTTACTAACTTAATGCTACATCACAATGCCTACGTCATTCATCTCATCGTGTAGGCATTTTACCATCTCACATCATCACTAGAAGGGTGAGTACAGTACAATAAGATATTTTGAGAGGCTACATTTATATATAACTTTTACAATATTTTAAGTGTTTTATTTTATTACTAGTTTATCTCTTACTGTGCCTAATTTATAAATAAAACTAAGTATGTGTAGGGGAAAACGTGTGTAGGGTTTAGTGCTATCCACTGGGTTTTGAACATATTTTTGAGTGAATAAATGGGGACTACTGTATGTAATTCAAAAGTCAACCACGTGCTCTACAGAAGCACTGTTTAATTACAATAGTTAATTTTCATGCATTTAGCCCTTACATTGTGCCAAACAATCTTCTAGATTACTTAATTTGCATGTCATATACATGAAAAGTCTGTGAGATAGCTGATAATATTCCTATTTTGGGGGTTAGTCTAAACCGCAAAGAGGTTAGAACCATTATTCTAAGTAAGTAACCTAGGCATCTGACTTCAGAGTCTGGGATACTGATGTGAAAGTCTGGGTAGGGTGAAAGGATTTATTGATCTAAATAGCTCTTAAACTTTGGTCTCCAAAAAATTACCGAGGATCCCAAAGAACTTTTGTATATATGGGTTATACCTATAAGTGACTATAGCAGGAATTAAAATAGAAATTTTCAAAAGTATTTATATATTTATTTAAGAATGACAAAATCTATTGCATGTTCATAACTATTCATGAAAAGCAACTTTAAATGTGAAGCATGTCATTTTACATTTTTGCAAATTGTTTTAATGTGTGGCTTAAGAGTAGACAGTTCTGTATTTGATTTGCTGTGTTATGATTGGAGGAGGCATGTGAAGACTATGAAGTTACATGAAAAGAGGGGACCTTGTGGATAAATGGACACCCCAAAGATCTCAGGGATTCCCAAGAACCCTCAGAGGACACTTTGAGAATCACTAGTTTATAGGAAGTATTTTAGAAGATTTCTTACTATTCAGATTGATTACAATACTGATTAATCTTGAGTTTTAAGGATTTTACAGAATTGATTCTATTTTTGTATGTGCTTTATAAGTATAGGTAATTTAGGCAATTTCCTGGGAGTGATTTGAAATACTATCTTTAAGGATTTATAATTATTAAATTATTAAAGTTATCAGAAATAAAGGTATTAATTTGTCTGTTTTAATTTATGGTTCAGAATACTTTTAGATATCCAGATTTTTTTCCGTTTGTAAAGTTAATAGAAATTATGATGTGTTTTGAATTAAATGGGTATGTTCTAGTCATTTCTCTTTCACTATTGAAAGGTCTTTAAGAGTTACCGTATTTTTCGGACCATAAGATGCTCCGGACCATAAGACGCACCAGTTTTTAGAGAAGGGAAATGAAGAAAAAAAGATTCTGAAACAAATAGTGTCCTAAAATATTTTATGTGCATTAAAACCCAACATCACAGTCATAAACACATGTAATCAACCCTGTAAAGTAAACAGCAGCATTTAGAACCATTTTAGAGCCGGGCAAGCACACAGAGCCGGGCAAGTAAAAAAACTTTTTTTTTTAAGTATATGTGTAGGCTATATTTGGACCATAAGACGCAGGGACTTTTCCCCCCCCCCACTTCTGGGGGGGGGAAAGTGCGTCTTATGGTCCGAAAAATACGGTATATGTCACAAAAACAAATTGGAAGTTAACATTATTAATTTGCTGAGTGGAAACATATGCAAATAATCATTTAACTTGTTAAACAGGCTGATAAACCAAGAGGCTTTGCCAGAGGTCTTGATCCTGAACGAATAATTGGTGCCACGGACAGCAGTGGGGAATTAATGTTCCTCATGAAGTGGTAAGTGTGTGGGTGGTTACTGGTATATTCTAAGTACAAGTAGATGGACTTTATTTTTTATTTTATTTATTTGTTTTTGATGTAATGAGGAGTGGTGGGAGAGATAGGCATTGATTTGTTGTTCCACTTATTTATACATTTATTGGTTGATTCTTAATTGGTGCCCTGACAGGGGGATCGGACCTGCAACCTTAACAAATTGGAACCATGCTCTAACCAACTGAGCTACCCAGTGAGAGCAATGGGCTTCCCCCCCCCCCCCCCTTCTGTGAGGCTTTATGTAGAAAGGGTTTTATAGTTTCCATCATTAGATAATAATTATCTGCTGAAGGGATGATTCTACTTTTACTAATGATATTTCAAAGCAAATATTAGCAAACTGGCCTGTTTTATAAAATGAAATTTTATTGGAACCCTACCACAAGTACCTCATAATCCTCTTGAATTGTTAAATAATCTGATTAAGTTATAATGTGTTGAGCCGTTCTCCTTGGACAAAAAAGGTTTAGATTTTTAACTGAATTTTTTTTTCCCCCGCCCCACAACAGGAAAGATTCCGACGAGGCAGATTTGGTGTTGGCAAAAGAGGCAAATATGAAGTGTCCTCAAATTGTAATTGCTTTCTATGAAGAAAGACTAACTTGGCATTCTTGTCCAGAAGATGAAGCCCAATAATTGTTTGCATTGTTTTTTATATATATTTATACATATATATAAAATCTGGGTCTTGGTTCTTCTGATTTATTAGTGTGAAGAAAGAACTACATTATAATGAAAATCAAGTTTGATATGTTTGTTTTGAAGTAGTGCTGGGGAGTTGTTTGGGGGGTTGCATCTGTAGCACTGGTTACTTTGAACAAAAGCTTTCTGTAGTTGCTTCCTTTGTCAGAAAAGAACGTTGGATATCATGTTGTTGTATTTTTTCCTCTGCGTTAGAGAAGTCTCTCTAAATGTTGGGGGAAATCTGCATAGTCATTACTCAGTCAGAATTTGTATGTGCCTAAGGATCATTGTGGGGTTTTTGTTTATTGGAGGGAGAGGGAGGGAAGGTGTGTATACATATGTAAATGGTTTTCTTTATTCTTTTTGTTTTGTTTTTTTACCAAAACACCATTTCACAACCATAGATAAGTTCATGTTTCTGAGCTGCCATCATTTTCAGCAACCTAAGGAAAAAATTATTTGAAGTTAAATTAAAATTTTTCCTGAAGCTTTTAACCTTTGAAATTAGATAATTTGTGATTAATTGGGAGTTATATATATAAGGTAAGCAGTTTAAATTGGACAATTTAAAGTAGACATATCAGAATCCATATATACAATCATAAATACAAGTTTATTTGCAAAACCCCTAAGAGGAAAATTTTATCACTGCCAATAACCTCACCCAAATGAGAAAACTAGGCAAACCCTGATGTGTTCTAATTAAGTAAGCAACACTTATTTAAAGGTTTTACCTCGTAAAATATTCCTTTACAAGAAGTTGAAATCCCTGTGCTATATTGCTAAAAGTTAAGGTCATGGAAAGTGTAAGACTATTCATGGATACCTAATCAGACTGTTAGAGACCTTGGCAGTTTAGGGCCTGCTGGAATAAATGGGTGAACAAACTTTGTAATCTAAACTATTGGTCTGCATGTTTTCTCTTTACTCCAACTCAGTCTTTACATGTAGGCTTGGTCTCAGTATTGGGGGTACTGGTTCAACAAAAACCAGGAAAAACAATAGCTTTGTAGTAAACAGAATGTTACCAACCAACTGTATATTGTTTACTTTATTGTAAATACTGGTAAACAGTGGTTAATAAATAGTTTTATATTCCTTTGTGATTAGACTTTTTCTTAATATGATGGCCTTTATCCTGAAGGTAGAAACACCCACAGACATGTGGTTCCACAAAAATACTGTGTGTTTTTTGTGTGGGAGGATGAAAATTAGTTTCGTGTGAAATTTTAATACTTAGGATGTAGTTTGTTAAAATTACATCTGAAAAACAAGTTTTCCGATAGGAGTGAGCTGGTTATGTTAGATCTATGTTTACTCATGTCCAAAATCCACAGAGAGAGTGAAGTCATTTTGCAACACATACACAAACATTGGACTATGATGTTGTATAGCTGAAACAATGTCAATTACGCATCACTTTTCTATAAGAACATTTATAAAATCACAGAGGTAGGAGAATCAGTTTGTTAAAGAGATGAGCTTAGGAACAAGTTAAAGAGTTTGGGAGAGGAAGGAATGGTAACTCACCAGAGGGAAGGAAGGCGAGGGTGTGTCTGGGGAGGGAGAGCACCTATACAGGCAGTCCGCAGGTTACGTCTGGCGACACATGTCCATGAGTGCTTTAAATTCTTATTACTGTTGTGTACGTGCTTCAGTGAGTGATGTAGGTGCTTATACTTACAACGAAAATGGCAGTATGTTGCACCGTATATTTACTTGTTTTTGTTTCTAGAGGCCGTCTATATTCATTGGTTTCTGGCCCTTTCCATCTTCAAAAGCAGCAGTGTAGCACAGTCTCTTCACCTCTCTATGCCTCGCTCTTCATCTATAAGTTGTGGGTTTTTATAAAAATGAAATGCGTACATGTGAGGCACTTAGAACAGTGTAATATTTAGCAATCAAAAGGTTTTGTTTTTTACAAGCAAATGTTTATTTAGGAAGTTACAGAGGTAGAAGTGAGCCAACTGGCCTGCCTGGGCTCAGGAAACAAGTTACAAAGGCCAAAAAGAGCTGTCGGAACTTAGGAAAAGGGGGGGACAGGTGTGCACGGGGCAGCTGGGTGCTATTTAACACTATAGAGGCCTGGTGCACAAAATATATAGCCAAACCGGTCAGGGCTATCACAACCTTTTTTAAAAAATAATTTCAGCCGAAACTGGTTTGGCTCAGTGGTAGAGTGTGGGTCTGCAGACTGAAAGGTCCCAGGTTCAATTCCGATCAAGGACATGTACATTGGTTGCGGGCACATCCCCTGTGGGGAGTGTGCAGGAGGTGGCTGATCGATGTTTCTCATTGACATTTCTAGCTCTCTATCCCTCTCTCCTCTCTGTAAAAAAATCAATAAAATATATATTTTTAAAAATAATTTCAGCCCTGACTGATTGGGCTCAGTAGATAGAATGTCAGCCTGCAGACTCAAGGGTCCCAGGTTCAATTCCGGACAAGGGCATGTACGTTGGTTTCAGGCTCATACCCAGTGGGGATTGTGCAGGAGGCAGCTGATCAATGTTTCTCTCATTGATATTTCTAGCTCTCTATCCTCCCTTCCTCTCTATAAAAAAAATAAAATATATTTTAAAAATAATTTCAGTATCTACTGCAAGGATCAAACTTAGTGGTATCCATCAACTTTTACCTATTTCCCTGGTGCATTTATTGGATGTTGATGACACCCTAATTTAATATTCTGAATTGGTCATTCTGGAACAGTAAACTATTTTTATTATTTATTTTGTTAATTGTAGTTTTTATTGTGGTAAAAAGAAAAGACATAGCGCAAGATGTCATTCTTAACAAAGTTGCAAGTGTAAGCACGATACTGTTGAACTATTACGCTAATATTTTCAGAGCTCCAAAGCCACTTTGCTGAGCAGTAGGAGAGAGTCAAGCGAGAAGAGAAACGGGCAGATCTCCAGGGGAAAAGCCTAGATGAGAATGTGCATCAGAGAAGGTAGATCTTCCATTCAGGAGCCACGCCACTGCTTCCCAAGGCCTTTTGGGTACTCCAGTAACAGAATGCCTCTAACCAGATCCCAAGGTGGACTGGCTTTAAAGTGAATTCCTCTTTCTAGCAAACAGTGTCACAATGAGCTTCCTGTTGTGCCCTCTCATGCCTCCAGCCTCTTTGTGTAGCTTTCGTGGACACCTGATTCCTCTGCGCCAGGAGAACTCTGAGCAATGGAAACCTATCTGTGATGCGCGGAAGAAGATAGCAGTCCGGGCGCTGGGCAGAGGGGATGCTGTCACTTTTCTTGCCGTTTGTTATCCAGCTCACGGGAAGCCGAGCTCAGCACCCTTCCAGCAGCAAAGCATTATGTCTCCTAGGGAGGACTCTTAAATCGCACCTCTCTCCCGTATTATCATAAATAAATAGGAGACTGATCTCTGGTGGTTATGCAAATGAGGGCAGAGAGAACCCAAGCCTTCTCCCTCTTCTAGAATGTAAGCGAAGGGGAGCCAGATTCTGACTTCTTCACTGCTGTATCCTTCACTCAGGGAAGAGAACCTGGTGTAAATGTGAGGAAGGGAGAGCCCTGGGCTTAAATTGGGGCTTAAAACAGATAGCATTCCTACCATCCAAAAACTCCGAAAAGATCTGCCAGAGGAAGAGTCAACCCTAAAGTAAAGGAAACTCAATATATAGATCACATAAAGGTTGGAAATTTCAAGAGGGGCAATTTGGCTGAGCCAAGTGCCTGAATTAATAAAATAAACCTGGGAATACACCCCCCCCCCAAAAAAAATCCTGAAATCTACTTTAAATTTAGCCCACACAGTACTCGCTTCGGCAGCACATTCACTAAAATTGGAACGATGCAGAGGTTAGCACGGCACCTGCACAAGGATGACACGCAAATTCATAAAGCGTTCCGTGTTAAAATAATGATAACTTAGCACACAACCTGCAATAGTCTCCCTTGTGCTTATCATTGTTGTCTGAACTGTTGATAATTCCTCCTGTTACTCCTCACTTGTCTAAAAACATAAGTATTTGTGGTAGCACATGCATTCCCCATTTAGTGTATATATTCCAAGAAAAGTTGTCTGTATTGGTCCTATTTTGCCCTTTTTTTTAATTGATTTTGAGAGAGAGAAACAATGATGTGAGAGCGAAACATTGACTAGCTGCCTCCTGTATGCCCCCGACCCGGGATCAAGCCAGCAACCTAGTCATGAGCCCTGCCCAGGAACTGAGCCAGCAGCCGCCTGTGCCACACAGCCAGAAAGGAAGAGCTGTGAAAAGACAGCAGAAATTATGAGGACATGTTCATTTTCAGGGAGGAATTAAATCCATGGTGGAATTGCTATCATTCCTTCCAACAAACAGGCTCAAATTTAAAAAATGGTACAATCGCCAAAACCGGTGTGGCTCAGTGGATAGAACATCCGCCTGCAGACTGAAAGGTCCCAGATTCGATTCTGGTCAAGGGCATGTATCTTGGTTGTGGGCACATCCAGAGTAGGGTGTGTGCAAGAGGCAGCTGATCGATGATTTTCTCTCATTGATGTTTCTAACTCTCTACCCCTCTCCCTTCCTCTCTATAAAAATCAATTATATATATATATATATATATATATATATATATATATATATATATATATATATATATAAACACATTATATATATAACAATTATTATGAAAGAAGTACTGCCCATTTGCTGTTCTTGCTTGGTACTGTCCTAGGTGTTAGACCCAGGTCTATTTCAGACAGACATATTTTTCTTCCTGGGGGTTTTTTTCCCCCCCCAACCATTTGAAAATGTAAAAACCATTCTTTGCCTTTGGAACCCAGAAAGACAGGCAGATCCGGCCGGAAAGGCTGTAATTTGCAATCCCTGGCCTACGGGGGTATATGATACAGATAAACCTTCTCTAAATGAGTGGCTAAGAGCCTTTACCTTAGACTCACACACAAAACCTCACTGTCCAGCCTCAGGCGTGCCCTGCCATCCTGCAATCTCTCCCTTCACTCACTGACCTGCTCCCCTTCTTACTGTCAGCGCAAGGAATATCCAAACCTGCTGATACTTTCTATAAGAGTTTTTTTGAGCCCAAATTGACCACATCTGACAGGGAACAAGATCTCAAATGCTCCCGACAGGAACCATTTTGCATTTGAAACTAAGGAGCAAAGGTAAGGAAGAGTACAGGGAAGTGAGAGAGAGCAAGGCAGGGATTAGATTGCAGGAGAGTTAACTAGAGTACGTGCTCACTGGAGGGTGGTTTGGGTTTATTTAAAAGTCGTGCTAATCTAGAAGGACAGAATGTGCTTCGGGCAAAGTTAGATGCCTGGGGAGTGACCTGCGGGTCAGGAATTTATGGTCAGGTCACTTTGTGAGATGACTTTCCATAGAAACCCACATTTCCTCCACATTACCCACTCCTGCCTCCAGTGACCCTCTACCTACTGATCTGCATTTCCTCCAAAGAATGAATGTATGAGGTAGGCTCCTGCCATGGACCTCCTGTCTCTGCCCCAGTACACCTCCCCTCAGTGTCCTAACAGCGACTTCACCTGCCCATCTTCCTCCGACAAGCTCCTAGGGAACAGGGTCTGTGTCTTTTTAAAAATATATATATTTCTTTATTGATTTCAGAGAGGAGGGAGAAGAAGAGGGAGATAGAAACATGAATGATGAAAGAGAATCATTGATTGGATGCCTCCTGCACACCCTTCCACTTGGGATCAAACCCAAAACCCAGGCATATGCCCCTGGCCGCAACCGAACCGGGAACCCTTCAGTCCGCAGGCCAACACTCTATCCACTGAGCCAAGCCAGCTATGGCAAGGGTCTGTGTCTTGTTCACTTTTTGACCTTGAACAGGTGCCTGAACAGGCAACTGGCTGAGATTTTATTCCTATCTCTGTGCACAGGAATGGCAAATTGCTTGAATCTACATCCACGTGCTTGCAAAGCTTAAGACCATTTTCACTTAAACTTATAGGTTCCTTCTTTCCAATGTCCTTTCCGGCCACTGACCAAAACTCACTTCACAAACCAGGCATTTCTAGCCCTAGACAGATGTGGTTCATGTATGTACATTATTCCAAATCAAACCTCTAGTATGCCAGTACATCTGGATCACATAGTGTTACTGTTACTGGAAAGGGGGCCTGGCCCCGAGCAGGTGTGGGTTCTTGGTGTAGGAGAAAGTTCACAACACGAGTCCAGGTGAATTGTAGGAGACGTTTATTAAAGCTGGGGACAGTGAGAGAAGGAAGGGCCTAGGATAACGGGAGAGGGACGAGGTGGGGGAAGGTCTTCGCCAGGCTGCTTTGGCTCACTAAGAAGTCAGAGAGAAGGGGGCTTGGGGACAGGTTCAGGGGTTAGCCCTGTGTGACCTATTGGGTTAGGGGCTGGGACCTTGGTTCTTCTCATCCATGCAGAAAAGATTTTAAGGCCAACAAAAATGAAATGAAAGTTAAGTGGGACTTATTGAAGATCCACTCCAAGGAAGGAGCGGGCCAGTCCAGAGAGACAACGGCCCTTAACTCCTGGGTTATAGCGTTTAAATGAGGGGTTTTCTGAGCGGAAACTTGCATTAGCATTCAGGGATGATTGACAGAAAAGGGTTATATAACTGTATTTCTTCTGCATATACCCTTACCTATAAGGCATACAGAAAAACCCATTAGTGTGTGTGTGTGTTTGTGTGTGTGTGTGTGTGTGTGTGTGTGTGTGTGTGTATGTGTGTCAAAACCGCAATGTAAATTTTATTATAATTAGTCCAGGGCCCTAATAAGCTTACACTGAGGTTTTCCTCTGAGCCTGCCTGCTGGCAGTCTGCTGGCTTCAGACCATAAAGAGATGGTCTGAAGGCAATGTTGGTCCAACCCTGTTCATGACCCCACCCCAGCCGCTCCTGTCTAACTTCCTACCTGTCACCGGGAGGAGCTGCCGCTGCCCATTGCTGCCTGGATGAAAGCCTTATGGGGTCCCTTTTTGTTTATTATTAAATATATTTTATTGATTTTTTTTTACAGAGAGGAAGGGAGAGGGATAGAGAGCTAGAAACATCAATGAGAATCATCTATCAGTTGCTTCCTGCACACCCCCTACTGGGAATGTGACCGCAACCAAGGTACATGTCCTGGACCCGAATTGAACCTGGGACCCTTCGGTCTGCAGGCTGACGCTCTATCCACTGAGCCAAACCGTTTTTGCCTGGGGCCTTCCTTTCGAGGGGCTTTAAAGGGAGGGCATGAGGGGGAGGTCTTGGTGGAGGATCTCAATCAAGTATGCATCAGTTTTACGTTGATGTGCCAAAATGAGATTTATTTCCTTAACTTAATCTGTCCGTGGGTGAGGTTGGCCGTTGGCACTAATTGGGTTTCTGCTGCCTCCCTGAGTAGGGTGATTTAAGCTATTTGCCCAATGGTTGGGCAGGAGAAGTGTAAGCCATTTACTCTTATTTTGTTATTTGTTTTTAATCTTTATTGTTGACAGTATTACATATGGCTTGTTTTTCCCCCATTGACCTCTCCCACCCCGGTGTAAGTCATTTCGGTGTCCTTGCTTTAGAGAAGTTAGGATATTCTAGATGCTGCAAAGGGCTTGGCATTGAGATTCACTAGATGGCTGCCTACGGCTGGTTAAGTGATCTCAGTTTCTCTATTCCGCTCCTCCTGGCTTACTAGCTGTCTCATTACTGTATCATAGCAACAAAGGAAACTCTATTGTGATCACTTCTTGACTCCATATCAATAATTCATAGTCCATTTGTTCCTACATACAGAACACCATTGTCCAGGAAGACTCATCATCTGTAAGTGTGGGGTGGACGCCCAACAAGATATAAAGAAATCCACTCTTCAAAAACAACAAATTGGGCCGAAACCGGTTTGGCTCAATGGATAGAGCGTCTGCTTGGGGACTGAAGGGTCCCGGGTTCGATTCCGGTCAAAGGCATGTACCTTGGTTGCGGGCATATCCCCAGTAGGGGTTGTGCAAGAGGCGGCTGATCGATGACTCTCTCTCATCGATGTTTCTAACTCTCTATCTCTCTCCCTTCCTCTCTGTACAAAATAAAAAAAATAAAAAAAATTGGGAGGAAGAATGACAAATTGCTTTACTTTGCTGTGTTTTACAATTGTAGGTTCACTAAGAGAAGCTTTTATGTAGGCATCGGCAAATTTAAGAGCACGTTGTATAGCTACATTCTTATATGCATTCAAATGCTCACGATGGTACGTGTGTTTCTTTTCTAATATGCTCTGGAGTATGTACCCACAGTAAAATAAAGACTCTAAGAAAAGATGTCATAATTTTTAAAATAAAGTTGGAAACCTTCAAGGGGGAAACATTTAATGTAAACACACGCACCAGTAATCTCATAAGTAGAGAACTGGTAGAATTTATATATGGTTAGTTACTTCAATGAGGAAATGGAGAGCTGTCATGAAGTAACTAATACCAACAGTGCCTGTATACAATGTCTAGATGACAGACAAGCACAATAAGACATGTGACAAAATGCCAATTAAATACCACCAAGAGAACAAGAAAACTTACACACACACACACACACACACACACACACACATACACACACACCCTAGCCATATATGCCTCTACAAACCACAGAGGGCTTGGCGAACCATGGGTAAGTTTACAGTTCCCAGAGTGACCGAGGAGATAGTCATTGCTTAAATATGGAATTGTGTCCCCCTGTTCCCACTGATCTTCAGGAGGGAAGCTGGTTGTAGAGGCAGGAAGTGTTCAGATGCTGTGGCAGTCAATCAAGAGGGCCCCCACCCAAGGACTGCCTCCTGGTCTTCATGCCCTTAGGTGGTTCTCTCCCAACTGCATGGCCTTGATCTGTGTGTCCAAAACCACACAGCAGAAAAGATGGTAGGCCCCCTCCAAGACAGGTTAA